AAAATGTAACTTGCTAATAAAGATGTAAGAAAATAAACCCTGGTATACTTTTATGAAAATAAAGTTTGAAAATTCTCAGAAATGTCTTTCAGACTTACAGCATGTCAGGGCCAGTGATTTTCTTTTTCTAGGAAAACCTTAACGAAATAATGGGGCAAAGGTGTGGGCAAAGATGTTTACTGAAGTGTCACAGCAAAGAACATTAAATGGAATGTACTTGGGGAAAAGCATGAAATTAGGTCTCTGAAAGATCAATCACTGCTATTATATGTCCTAAATGCTCTTCAGTCATAATTCCTAGCATGTTAACTGTGCACAAGAAGGTGTTTCTCTGTGACATTTCCACACATGTGCATATCATGGTTTATACACCCCAGCTTCTCTCCTCTCTTACCAACCTTTTTCTTTTCCCCATACCTAATTCTTTTTGCTTACCTAGTACCAAACTTCTTTTTTTTTACTTTTGCTTTATTTTGTTTTGTTTTTCATGACAGGGTTTCCCTTTAGCTTTGGAGCCTGTCCTGGAACTCACTCTGTAGACCAGGTTGGCCTTGAGCTCACAGAGATGCACCTATCTCTGCCTTCTGAGTGTTGAGGTTAAAGGCATGGACCACCACCCACTATTTCATTTTTTAAATAAGAGAACACGCAATAATTGTTGTTCTGAGTATGGCTTATTTTATTGGCTATAATCTCCAGCTCATCTTTCTTCTCCTTCCCTTTCCAAGGTGTCTTTTGTTTTCTTTTCTTATTGCTGATAAACAGTTTTATTAAAGTACTAGAATAAAATGATTTCTGACTGAATCTCCTTTCTTAGGGCATACTATATCTTACCTCTTTCTTTTTTTGTTTGCACATTTTTATTTGAATTAGAAACAAGATTGTTTTACATGACAATCCCAATTCCTTCTCCCTCCCTTCCTCCCCTACCACCTCCCTAACTAGAATCCTACCTATCACATATCCTTTCTGCTCCCCCTGGATGGTGAGGTCTTCCATAGGGTGTCATCAGAGTCTATTGTATCCTTTGGGATAGGGCCTAGGCCCACCCCTGAGTGTCTTGGCTCAGGGAGTATTCCTCTATGTGAAATGGGCTCCCTAATTTCACACCTATGCTAGGGATAAGTACTGAATCTACAGGAGATCCTGTAGATTTCTGAGGTTTCCTCACTGAAACCCATGTTCCTGGGATCTGGATCAGTTCCATGCTAGTATCCCAGCTATCAGTCTGGGGACCAAGAGCTCCCCAATGTTCAGGTCAGCTGTTTCTGTGGTTTTCACCAGCCTGGTCTAGAACTCTTTGGTCATCACTCGTTCTTCTCTGCAACTGAATTCCAGTTAAGTTCAGTGATTAGCTGTGGATCTCTGCTTCTACTTCCACAAGCTGCTTGATGAAGGCTAAGGATGGCATATAAGACAGTCATCAATCTCATTATCAGGGGAGGGCATTTAAGGTAGCCTCTCCTCTGTTGCTTAGATTGTTAGTTGGTGTCCTCTTTTTGTATCTTCAGACATTTCCCTAGTGCCTGATTTCTCTGTAAACCAAAAATATCTCCCTCTATTATGGTATCTCCTTTCATGTTTTCTTCTATTCTTTCCCCGACGCAACCCTTCTGCTCACTCATGTTCTCCTCACCCCTCCCCTTCTCCCCTTCTCATTTTCCTAGCTCCCTCCCCACTCCTCCCATGCTCCCAATTTGCTCAAGAGACATTAGCCCTTTCCCCTTCAACAGCAGACCATGTATGTCTCTATTAGAGTCCTCCTTGTTTACTAGCTTCTTTGGCAGTGTGGATTGTAAGCTGGTAATCCTTTACTCTATGTCTAAAATCCACATATGAGTGAGTACATATCATGTTTGTCTTTTTGTGATTGGGTTACCTCGCTCAAAATGGTTTCTTCGAGTTCCATCCATTTTCCTGCAAATTTCAAGATTCCATTTTTTTTTTCTGCTGAGTACTCCATTACTCCATTGTGTAAATGTATCACAATTTCTATCCATTCTTCAGTTGAGGAGCATATAGGATGCTTCCAGTTTCTGGCTATTACAAATAGTGCTGCTGTGAACAT